TCCTTTTGATATGTGTGCTGCTCCACTGATCCATCAGGGAGAATAATCTACAAGTCACTGTGGAATGCTTGCTCTGGGCTTGGCCTTGAATAAATTGCTTTCACCTTCTAGAATTTAATCATCATAATGAGCCAGAGCAGTTGTGATTAAAGGGCAGATAGAGAACTTGTCCAAGGCTACTTTATTTATTTATATTTTTTAAGGTACCGAGGATGGAAGCCAGGGTGCTCTACACATTGCCAAGTACTCTTATTTTTTGAGACATGGTCTCATTAAGTTGCTGAGGCCAGCCTCCAACTGTGATCCTCAATCTTTTATAAAAAATGTTTAAGATAGAAATTCGGCCAAGTACCCACAAGAGGTTTTTTTGTTTGTTTGTTTCTTTTTTTTTTTTTTTTTAGTTTTCGGCGGACACAACATCTTTGTTTGTATGTGGTGCTGAGGATCTAACCTGGGCTGCACGGACACCAGGCAAGTGCGCTACTGCTTGAGCCACATCCCCAGCCCTTTTTTTTTTTTTTTTCAATATTTATTTTTTAGTTGTAGTTGGGCACAACACCTTTATTTCACTTGTTTATTTTTGTATGTGGTGCTGAGGATCGAACCCAGGGTCTCGCACGTGCAAGGCGAGCACCCTACCACTGAGCCACAACTCCAGCCCCCACAAGAGGTTTTCTGCGTCAGTTTTAGAATCAACCTGGGGAGTTCACAAAACACACTGGATCTCATCCCTTGAGGTGTTGACTTAATTGACTTTTTAGGGTCAATTATCTGTCTTCTAAGATACCCTGAGCCCAGCTTGCAAGCTGTAGTAGATGCCTTAGAAAACAAAGGGACATTTGTTTAGCACAGTGGATCCCAAACAGCCACCCCAGAATGCCTCCCACGGGCACTGCGACACACATCACTGGCAGCAAAATCCCTGCTAGAGATTTTGGCACAGCTGGACAAGGAGAGTGGAGCCATGGGAAAACAGTACACAAGGGCTCTTGAGGGCTTCCTGCAGGTCTTTTCAGTCATAGATAGAGGCAGGGGGTTTTTGTCTTGTTTTTGTACTGGGGATGGAACTCAGGGCACTCGACCACTGAGCCACATCCTTTGGGGTTGAACCCAGGGCCTTGTGCATGCAAGGCAAGCACTCTACCAACTGAGCTATATCACCAGTACCCCACCCCAACAGCCCTATTTTGTATTTTATTTAGAGACAGGGTCTGAGTTGCTTAGTGCCTCACTTTTGCTAAGGCTGGTTTTGAACTCACGATTCTCCTCCCTCCTAAGCCCCTGGGACTATAGGCATGTGCCATTGCACCCAGGCAGAGACAGTTTTGAAGAAATCTCAGTAAAGGATCATGCATTTCCAATGATTTTTTTTTCTTTTGGTACTGGATATTGAACCCTGGGTGCTTTACCACTGAGTATTTTTTTTTTTTCTTTTGAGACATGTTTCACCAAGTTGCATAGGGCCTCACAAAATTGCTGAGGCTGGCTTCGAATCTGCAATCCTCTTGCCTCAGCCTCCCAAGTGGCTGGAATTACAGGCCAGCACCACCACGCAGGGATCCAGTGATTTTTAATTGGTAATAAAGCTGACCTAGATCATCAAAGACAAGTAACACTGAAGGACAGCAAGTAGCATGGCCACTAAAATAACAAAAATGGAACATCAGCAAAGATTAGGATGAATGTATATCAAGATTTCCATGAAGTTGTCCAGGGTATAAGGAAATTTCAAGAGCAAGAATGTCTTCCCTGCCGGATGCAGTGGTGCATGCTGTAATCCCAGTGGCTGGGGAGGCTGAGACAGGAGAATCACAGATTCAAAGCCAGCCTCAGCAACCATGAGGCGCTAAGCGACTCAGTGAGACCCTATCTCTAAGATTAAAAAAAAAAAAAATAGGGCCAAGAGGGGCTTGGGTTGTGGCTCAGTGGTAGAGCGCTTGCCTAGCATGCATGAGGCAGTGGGTTTGATCCCCAGCACCACATAAAAATAAAAAATACAATAAAGGTGTTATGTCCATCTACAACTAAATGTATATATATCGATAGATAAAGGGCTGGGGATGTGGCTCAGGGGTTGAATTCAATCCCCAGTACCAAAAAAGAAAGAAAATAATGCCTTCCCTCACTAGAAATAACTCAGAAAGAAGAAACAAGAACTGCTGCCATCAAGAATCCCTTGAGTTTTAGCTCCCAACTGCCAGGGGAAGCCCTCATCTCCTCCTTCTTTCCTTACAGGTTTACATAATGTTGGTACCTTTTTTTTTTTTTTTAAGAGATAATTTTTTAATATTTATTTTTTAGTTTTCAGCGGACACAACATCTTTATTTATATGTGGTGCTGAGGATCGAGCCCAGTGCTGCGCACATGCCAGGCGAGCGCGCTACAGCTTGAGCCACATCCCCAGCCCACCTTTCTATCCTTAAACAGATGATCACTGTGTTAACCTTAGACCAAGAAGCCAGTTAATCCTTTCTATGAAGCTAATATAATGGTTCTTTCCAGACCAATTTAAAGGAAACCCAAGGCTGCTTCAAAGATTGTCTGATTCTTTTAAAATACATGTCTACCTATTCAAGGATACATTTTTTTTTTTTTAAGAGCTTACATTTTAATAGGGATGAATCAGTTTGGAATCTGTTTGCCAAGCTGAAGTCATAGGTTGTGAAATAATTTTTAACTCTTGGAATCATAGTACCTACTCTAAATAGAAGCATAGGGAGGGTTTGTTTGTTTTAATGTGAATTTTTGCCTGTCTTTAAAAATGTTGATGTCAACTCTAATTAACCTTAAATACACTAAATGGAATCTACAAAAGTGAGCTATCTCAGAACTTTCTTGGTGCTACAGCTTTTGTTTTCCAGTGGCTAAAATACCAAAATGCCTTTTGTATTAAAAATTGCTTACCAAGCCTGTTATTTATTTTTGTACTGGGGATTGAACTCGGGGGCACTTGACCACTGGGCAACACATCCCCAGCCCCATTTTGTATTTTATTTAGAGACAGGGTCTCACTGAGTTGTTTAGCACCTTGCTTTTGCTGAGGCTGGCTTTGAACTCACGATCCTCCTGTCTCAGCCTCTGGAGCCACTGGGATCATAGGCGTGCACCACAGCACCCAGCTATTACTACTGTTCTTGAAGATGTGGCCAAATATTTGAACTCATTCTGGACTTAGGCTTGTCAATGTATACTTGTTTTCTTAATTTAAGTCCTTTCACAGCCATGCTAAGGGTGGAATCCTCCTTCCTTTACAAGTATTTCTGGTTAAGGGATGTGAAAAAAACTAAAGCTTTGTTTGGTGTAATCTAAAACATAAAATTGATCTTTCACAGAGATGATGAATGTTTCTGCTACATACTTTTATATATTACTTATCAAACTAGTTAACAAGTATTTTTATGTTTGTACACAAATATGCTTTCACAGTATACATTGTGTACATGTAAATATATAGTATTTCTCACTGTTCACTTTTAAATGCCAAAAAAAGGGTGGGGGATAAAAACTGTGGGAGAACTTTTACTTGCTGGTCTGATACTGGTAGTATCTATCTTTGGCCACTTTTATCCCTACTTACGAAACCTTTCCAATAGAATACATGAGACTGAAAAATCACGCTCAATATCTCCTGCTAAATATTGATTGTTGATATCAAGTATTAATTGTAAAACTTATAATTAACTACTACTATAATTGTGGAAGGTTTCTGATTATTATTATTTTTTGATACTGGGGATTGAACTCAGGGACACTCGACCACTGAGCCAATCCACAGCCCCATTTTGTATTTTATTTAGAGACACAGTCTCACTGAGTTGTTTAGCACTTTGCTTTTGTTGAGGCTGGCTTTGAACTCATGATCCTCCTGCCTCAGCTTCCTGAGCCCCTGGGATTGCAGGTGTGCGCCACCGTGCCTGGCATACAGATAGTTTTCTGTGGATTTTTTAAACAATTCAGGTGCTGAAATTAAAGTTGATCTGTTATTACGGGGAGGAGGAGGGGGAAACAAGTTCCTTTTTTCTTTTTGTGGTGCTGGGAAGCAGACCCAGGGTCTTGTGCCTGCCCACTAGCGCTCTACCACTGAGCTACATCGCATGCTGGTCCGAACTCCTGAGCAAGTGTCGAGCGCTGGGACTGTAAGTGCACACCACCACCCCTGGCTTTTTCTTTGTTTCTGATTCATAAGATCTGGGATGAGACCTGAGAATTTACAGTTGACTTTCAGGTGCTGATACTATTGGTCCACACTTTGAGAACCACTAGATTTTAAGCTAAAAAGTATCCAGGAGGAGAACCTGAGGTACAGAGGTTCCATGTTCATTCAGTCAGCCGCACAGCCAGCCAGTAGAACAGGGCTGCTAGCCAGTGGCCCTCCTCCCCAGCTGGAAAAGTGAGGGAGGGGGCAGTGATTCAGTCCTCCAATTTGGTGCGTGGCAATGACAGTGGGCAGGCAGCCTGCACTGGCACTGTGCTTTTTTTTTTGTAGATGACACAATATCTTTATTTATGTGGTGCTGAGGATGGAACCAGTACCTCACACGTGCTAGGCAAGCGCTCTGCCACTGAGCTACAGCCCCAGCCCTGGTGCTGTGCCCTTAACATTGCCTTTTTTTGTTGTTTTGTTTTGGTACTGGGTATTGAATACAGAGGCATTTTACCACTGAGCTACATCCCCAATCCTTTCATTTTTTTGAGAGGGTCTTGCTACACTGCTTAGGCCTCACTAAGTTGCAAAGGTTGGCCTCAAATTTGCAATCCTCTTGCCTCTGCCTCCAGAGTTGTTGGGATTACAGGTGTGCACCACCAGACTCTGCTTAATTAACATTGCTTATTAGTTATATCTATAAGTGGAATGACACTGACCACATTCTTTCTTCAGACTCAAGCCATACACTGATTTTGCCCAAGCAGCCCCTAAAACTGGGACCAAAACTTTTAATTCTGGGGGGGGAGTATATGTGGCGGAAGACATTCCCAAAGGATTCACACGTACCAGATGTACACAAAGCTTTTTGAGTTTTATTTTTTCCTTGGGTTGGAGATTCATCTTAACATGCATGCATTTTAAAACAGTAACGGGGTCTCGAACTGTTTCGAGTGGACATTAGACAAGCACAGGGGGTGGAAAATTCCTATTTAAAAAAATGAACTTGCAGTGGGAAGCTGAAAAGTCCCACCCATGGTGGGGTGGTAGTTTATCCTGCTTCCCTAAAAGGTGACTCCAAACTTCATATTTTTTGTTTACAATGATCTGACCTGATGTTGTGGTGTGCTGAGCAGCATAGGGCTTTCCCCAGGCCTGCCACCCCTACCTCGTCACAAAATGGCTGTAAGTCCAAGTGTTCTAAAAATTTCTTCCCCAGCCTCTTTCCTGGGATCTCAGCATGACCTGCTAAGGAACAGCTGAGTCTCCTTTCCATTTTCCATAAGGGCTACTCTTCATAAGTGGCATTTATCAAAGGAGGCCTAGAGTCGTATCACTGCCCCTTGCAGACGGCAGGTCGATTTGGGGGTAGCTGTTTGAATGTGCTTCCCTTTGAGGACCCCCCCTTCCTACATTACTGCCTTTAAGTGAGGTCTCTAGACGTGAGGGGACCACAGGTCTAAGGCCAGAGCTCTGAGGGTTAACACACTGTCCTTCTAGCCTTCAACATTCAAATGCTAGAGAGTGCTAATGTTTTTCTCTCCAGACTTGATTTGGTAAAAAAGATAATAGGGGGTGGGACTGGCTATGAAGAAAGCCCCAGAATTGGTGGGGCAGACTGTGAAGGGGGAACATCTCTGGGGCAGGAGTCTCAAGTCTCTGTCTCACACCCTGAGCATTACCAAGAGGTGCTCAGGCCTAGAGCACAGGAGAGGAGTGAAGGAGGGAGTGGGGGAAGGAGGAAAAGCTGCCTGTAGTGGAAACTTGAGTGCCACTGAGAACAGCCACAGGGGCCACTCATGGGTAAGCCACAGACCAGTGACCCCTGAGCTAGATGAGGACGGAGCACTGCTTCTGGAACTCTGCTCCTAGAACTGCTGGCTTCCCGGATGCCCTGCAACCCCACCAGCCTCAGAGAAGGCAAGTGTCCTGGAGGAAAGACCCCGTGGTTAATGAACAAGGACACAAGGCCAGGCTTTCGTCTAGGGGTCTGCCAGTGTGATTTTCTAAGCACCCCTCACATCTTTCCAAGTACCCCCCACCATGCTGTTGTTGGTGATGACTGGGAGATGATTGCTCAGCTGTGACATTTCAGAAGAGGGACAGAGAAGTTGAGTAGATGTTACCCAGTAAAGGGGAGAATGAGGGAATGGAAAGGAACCCTGCCCTTATCTCACCCAGGCCTCACCATTCAGCCTAGTCCTTATTCCTATACCTTTGTTTCCAGGAGACCCCAAATTATTCTGGGGTGCCATAAGACTGTTCAGCTTCTCTGCATGGCCTGGGGGAGGTAGGTTAGGAATAGTCCCTTCCCCTGAGACGCCTCCTACTGCCCACAAAGGGAATGGTAGGACTTGGGAAAGAAGAGGGAGCAGGTGAACGCGGGGATCAATTCATTTTCAGACTGCAAGCCAAACAACATCTTTATCATTACAAAAGAAGAGAAAGAAAACTTGTATAAACCAAGATAAATAGGTTTTAAACATCTGAATGCCAAAGGAATTAGAGGGCCAAACCCAAGGTTTTGAAGATAGCACAGAGAATGACCTTTAAAAAAAAATCTAAAATCCACCAAACCACAGCTCAAATGTTTCGACCCAATCAACAATACTGTCAGGAAAACAAAAAGCATTTGAAACAGAATGCTACCTCTCAAAATGTAAACAATATATATATATATATGTGTGTGTGTATATATATATATATAATTTTTTTAAAAAAAACCCACAAAAACTCAATGTTAAACAAGTTAGATACCTGGTAGTTGCTTTAACTGATAAGATTGTGTGACACTTTTTGATACACATTATGGCAACATGATCAGCAGACCCAGTGCAGAAAAGCTGGCGGGGCCCAAGGCTATGGAGGCTGCTGGAAGACAGCTTTCCAAGCTGTGGAGATGCTGGGCCTAACTGGGAACAGATCCAAAATTTCACTCTTGATTATGAGGTGGGGAAATCAAGTCCAAACATTATTCCTACATAATCCCTTTCCTAAGTCAAAATTGTTTTCTCCCAGAGCCACATGGTTCCAAGTGTTTCCCGAGTCACTTCATGGCCCTGCTCTAATTGTTCAAAGCTAGCTCTGCCCTTCCAGAAGGGGGCGGCCCCAACGAGGCCTAAGAATGCTGCCTCCATTCCTTCCTGACCTGAATGCTGTGGGCAAGACACACACAGCATTGGTTTCTGCTCCAGAAGCCGAGCTTGGCCATTTTGGAGGAAGCCACAGGAAACCACCTATTCATTTAAAATGATTCACAAACCAACTTCACATCTTTGGGGTTATCTACAAATTTTACCATCTTTCATCCCAAGTTCCCAATTATTGGTGAGGGGGTGGGATGATATAGGAATGTACCACCCCCAACATGGAACAATGGAGCCATTTTCCCTCCTGGCGACCAGCTGCTGATGGTAACAAAACAGGTGTGGCTCACTTCTGAGAGCCTGGGAGGCAGACTGTGAGACTGGATGGAAATCCTGAAGGAAGCTGCAGGATGCCACTTCTTCCAGAGTCTTGTGGGCCACAGGTTTAGAGAGAGGCAATAAAAGAAAAACAGCCCCAATGCTGGAGCTGGGTCAAACCCCACTCAGGTTTTCAAGTTGGATTTCCTGAGTCACATCCTCAAGTGACTCAGAAGCAACCTCAGTTTTGGATGCCACACTCCTTGTTGTGGGCACCTTGCTTGCTATAACCGTCCAGGTGAAAAACCATGAGTACAGAGAGCCAGACATCTACATGGTGGGCCTGAGGCTTAAAGAGGTGTCTCTGCAAAGAGCACCCAGGTTCTCGGAGCTCTGTCCTCGGTGACAAGCCAACCACAGGTGAGAGCGCCTGGAGGTCAGTAGGAAGGAATAGATGAGGCTCACAAGACCTTATTTGACATACATCAGTTTTGGGGGTCTTCCCAAAGGAAGTTCCCATTTAAACACGAGAGTTCTGTTATATCCAAAGGTGCTTTCTAGGTCCTCTTGAGCCAATGAAGCAGGCTTGACAGAATATCTCAACTCCAGGGACCAAGCGAGCCTGGGACTTGGATGATGACCACAGGGTTCTCTGAGAACCACCTGTCCAAGAGCCCAGCAGCTCCCTCACCCATTACCATCCCATGAGGATGGACCTGTTCCCCTTGGAGGTCTCCAACTCTGATCCAAGATGTCAGGCATTGGCCTGCAGTGCTCCTTTGGGAGGACAGCACTGGAGGATAGAACGGAGGAATAAAAACGTAACATTTCACTTGGATCCAAGGTAGAAAGGTAGAAGAAATTATGCACAATACTCTATAAAATTAAAAAGTTAATCCAAGTAAGATCAAATGCAGCAGGGCGAGGTGTCTGACCTCTTCTCCTTGCTGGTGTCAGTGCACCCTGCTCGGAGCAGACCTCTGTGCTGGGCCTACCAGGTGCCTCTTTAATTTAAGGAAACTGAGAGCCGGGCAGGGATGGGAAGGTGGCCAAGGTGAGCAATGAAATTTCAGAAACAAAGCCCAAATAAACCCACCAAGTCACAAGATACCAAAGGGAACACCTTTGTAACCTGGGTCAAATGGGGAAAAAAAAATCAAGGGTAAACAGAAGGTGAGGTTATGTCCTGTGAGCATGTGCATACACAGCACATCCCCCTCTTCCCTAGCTAAAGCTGCTCTCAGTGTCACAGGCTACAGTCTCAATACTAAAGCCTTCCAGGCCCCCCACTCTGTTCCCTATCCTCCCATCTAGCCCCAAAATATCCTCTCCCTCTCCAATCCCCGATCCCATATCCAGCTCTCTGGCTCTGGCTGAAGGCAGAAGAAAACTACGTCAGGATGTTGGACATGAACTCGTTGAAGCGTTTGGAGTACTGCTCAGGGTTCACAGTCGAGATCTCGGCCCCTGCCTGTAACACACAAGAGGCCCATTCAGGTCAGTTCCTTATCCTTAACCAGGAGGCTGCATCTGGGAGGAGCCAGGTCTTCAGACCTCTTACTAGCATCAGAGATGAATACCACCCCCTCAGACTGGGCAGGCCACCTCAGGAAGCAGTTCAAAGTGTCACGTCCCTGTCTCCACTCCTCTAATTTACACACTCAGGTCTGCAGTGAAGTAGAAAAAAGGCACTGGGGAGGTGGCAGAGAAGGCCTGGTTCTCTGTGGGGGGCCCTGTGTGGAGAACAGCAGCTTCAAGCTGTGGGGAAACAGGCCAATGGGGAGCAGTGTGGGCATGTAAACAAAGCTATTCCTGGCCATTCAACAAGATGCACAACATGCCCGGCAGCCCCCAGGGAAAGAAGCTGGCAGGCTCAGGGCCCAGAGGGCCAGAGAACTGGAGAAAAAACAAGTTGTGTTTATTACCCAGACTGGCAGGTGGGGGTGGGGTATGGATGGGCAGGGGACACAAGGCAAGGGAGTTCTGTGCTGGGAAGGAATGGGGTGGAAGAACACTTTCTAGAGCAGAAGGCCCAAGGTCTCCTCCTGGGGGTCCAAGGGTGAGTACAGATGTATCCCACTGGGCTGGCCCTGGAGGAAGAAAGAGAGCGCTCACCCCATGCTTCACTGTTTTGGCAGCGTGTGCAGCTTTCTTCTTAGCATCATATGGTGTGAGGATGTCAATGATGGCCATGAAATAGACCTCCTTTTTGGGGGCACCTGAAATGTGAGTAGAAGCAGGAAAGGAGGAAGAAGTGGTAGGGAGAAGAGCCAAGAGCCTCTGGGGCACACCCATGATCCTTCAATTGAGGTTTACATTATCCCTATCACTTTGACGAAGAGACCAATGGGTCCTTCTCAGAAGCATTCACATTCTAATCTTATTTGATCCTCACAGCCACCCCATAGGGACCTCTTACTTAGCATCAGAGATGAATACCAGCCCCCCAGACTGGGCAGGCCACCTCAGGAAGCAGTTCACATGTCTCATGTCCTGGCTCTACTCAGTATGCTTAAGGTCTGTCCATCCTATGGCCAGAGCAGGGCATGCCTCGGTCACTCAGGACCAGTGCAGAGGGGAAGGCAGGCCTGACAAATAGAACCCTAAGACCCAAATTCCTGTGGGTGACCGCTAAAGAAGTCTTCAAGCAGAAAGAGGCCAAAGTCGGCCTCAAGTTAATGAGGTGAAGGTGGATATCCACCACCACTGCCCAGACGTCTTGCCCTAGAGGGGAAAGCGGGCAGGCCAGCATAGGCTCCTACTTACTTTCGTGGCTTTTCATGGCATAGACATCAACAGAGGGGTCGAACTCCCCAGGACCAAAGAACCGGGGAAAGCTGAGGAGGTTGCCAGGGCTATCCGGAGGTGTGCCATAGGAGCAGAGCAGGTTGCTGCCCACCCCGTCGTTCTCACATTCCTCGTCCTCTGCTCGCTCCTCCACTTCCATCTCCTCCTGCTCAGCCCGGTCCACATCATGGATGCCTACCAGCAGGCTGTAGTCCATGATCTTTAGCTGGGCCAGGAACTAGGGAGGGACAGAAAGATGGAAGGTGTTACACAGGCCATCCCAATGGCATCTGGAAAGGGGGAAAAAGGGTTTCTTTCAACTCAATTCTACACACGATTATGAAATAGACACTGACTCTGCCCTGGTGAGCTCATGTTTAACAGGGATGGCTATCCCACAGGAGCAAAGAGGTGTGGAAACTGACAGCAAGGGCTAGAAGGCTTCCTTGAGGAAAGGCACTAAGGCTGCAGAATGAAGTAGTAGTCCAGATGGTTTGGGACCCACTGAGGCCATGAGTTGAAAAAATGTGTGCTACACTACTACTTTCATAGTGTGCTACACTATGAAAGAGGCTAGAGAGGCGGATGAAACACAGCAGAGTCTTTCAAGTGCAGCTCTCATTACGAGTCTCGACCCATTATGAACCCAATGTAGTGGGCTGGAACTAGGACTTTTTTAAAAATTATAAAATAAGGGGCTGGGGTTGGGGCTCAGTGGTAGAGCGCTTGCCTAGCATGTATGAGGCACTGAGTTCGATTCTCAGTACCACATAATAATAAATAAAATAAAGGTCCATTGACAACTAAGAAAATATTTTTTTTTAAAAATTATGAAATAAGCCAGGTGCAGTGGCACACACCTGTAATCCCAGTGGCTTGGGAGGCTGAGGCAGGAGGATTATGAGTTCAAAGCCAGCCTCAGCAAAAGCAAGGCAGTAAGACCCTGTCTCTAAATAAAATACAAAATAGGGCTGGGGATGTGGCTCAGTGGTCGAGTGCCCCTGGGTTCAATCCCCAGTATCCCACCAAAAATTATTAAATAAGATAAAACAGAATAAAAAATATCAGCATGCAGCTGCAGTTGTGGGTCAGTAGTAGTACACTTGGTGTGAGGCACAGGGTTCGATCCTCGGCACCACATAAAATAAATAAATAAAACAAAGGTATTGTAACCATCTACAACTAAATGTGTGTGTGTGTGTGTGTGTATCAGCCTGCATAACATGAAATAAGAGTAGATAGTGTGGGGCACAGTGACACAGGCCTGTAATCCCAGCAGCTTGCAAGGCTGAGGCAGGAGGATCACGAGTTCAAAGCCAGCCTCAGCAGCTTAGTGAGGCCCTAAGCAACTCAGTGAGACCTTGTCTCTAAATAGAATATAATAAAGGGCTGGGGATGTGGCTCAGAGGTTAAGTGCTTCTGGGTTCAATCCCCAGTACAAAAAAAAAAAAAAAAATAGAGAGACAGTGGGACCACAAAGATCAGGAAATAACACCAATAGTTAACAAGTTAACAAATGGGATGGCATCAAATTAAAAAGCTTCTGCACAGCAAATAATTAGGACTGTAAAGAGAGGAATGAAAGAAGTAGAGAAAATTGAAAAATTTTGCTAGCTACTCTTATGTCAGAGGAGTAATATCTAGAACATATAAAAAAGTGAAAAATTTAACACCAAAACCCAAATAACCTAACTAATAAAAGGAAAAATAAATTAAACAAACACTTTCAAAAGAGGAAATACATATGGCAACAAATATATGAAAAAATATTTAACATAATTAGCAATCAGAGAAATGCAAATCAAAACTACAGTAGATTTCATTTCACACCAGTTAGAGTGACAGTCATAAGAATACAAACAATAATAAATGCTAGAGATGATGTGGAGAAAAAGGAATACTTTTCCACTGTTGGTGGTATCATAAATTAGTACAACCACTACGGAAAAGTATGGAGGTTCCTCAAGACTAGGCATGGGACCACCATACGACTCGGCTATACTACTCCTTGGAATGTATCCTAAGGGATCAAAGTCTTCATACTGTAGTGCTCGATACATACCCATGTTTAGAGCAACTCAATTCTCAATAGCCAAACTCTGGAACCAGTGTATTTGTCCATTAATGGGTGAATGGATAAAGAAAATGTGGTATATATACACAATGGAGTTTCATTCAGTTGTAAAGAAAAATGAAATTTATGTTATTTGCAGGAAAATAGATAGAACCAGAGACCATATGTTAAGCCAAATAAGCCAAACTCCTCAAAAGTCAAGGATTGTATGTTTTCTCTCATGGAAGTTAGAGAGGAAAAGGAAATGCGGGGGTGGGGGTGGAGATGGGGGTGGGAATCTCATGAAAATCAAAGGGAGATCAGTAGAGGAAAGGGACCAGGAAGTAGAAGGAAGGGAGGGAGTAGGGAAGTGCTAGAAAGTGACACTGGCCAAATTATGTTGTTATAGTGTGTCCATGTATGAATATATAACAACAAATTCCATCATTATGCACAACTATAAAGAACCAATAAAAAAATACAGAAAGAGGAAAAGAAAGAGCAGCTGGTGCTCCAGTTGTATGTGTGTGTACTTTGTTGGCTACAATAAAAGGTACTTCTAACTGGGGGTAACAGGCAAAGTTTGAAAAACTATACAATTTGGCTTCTTTACCAGTCAAGGTAAAAATGGAGAGAAAGAAAAAGGAACACCACATAAGAATGACAGAGCCAACCACCATTCTCACCCATTTCCTGCAGGCAGGCCCGGCTGTGTGGAGCTGGGGGAGAATCCTGGACCCGCCCCTGGTACCATAGGCCTCCCCTTGCCACATCTCAGTTTCCTCATGTGCACAATGAGTGCTGTGAGCAGGATGGTGTCTTCAGTTCTTCGTTTAGGTTTTCATAGCTTGAGAATAACAAAGCTTGTGGGAATAACACCGGATGGAACTGGCCAGCCGGCATTCCAAATCAGCCAAGAATGAGAGTCTAGTCACCATCAGACATGTGCCAGGTGCTGTGCCATGGTTACAAACAGCCTGCAGCACCAGGAAACTGTCAGACCAACCACTGTGCTAGGGGTCTAGGAGGAGCACCTTCAGAGAACTAGAATGGCTCCAAGCACAGTCTGGAACACAACCCAAAGCACAAGAAGCCCCAAGGCTGGGAGATCAGCAGAATCTCCTTAGTATAAGATCAATAGGTGGCATGACCACAGCACCCCTGGACAAGGTCTTCTCAAGACTAGGGAAAGGAGGAGCAAGGGTTCCAAGAAGGACAGAATCCATGAACACCACCCCCAACCACCAAAGAATAATCACAGAGCAACAGGCACTGAGCAACATGCACTGAAAACAAATTAGCTGAGTAAACTGCCTTAAATTCATATTAGAACCAGGAAAGAGGAAAAAAGACTCAGAACAAACTGAGTTATCAGAGCATAAAAGACAGAATGAAGGAACAAACATATGAGGGTAAGGAAAAGCTTCCTAGCAAAAAGGTTATTAAACCCATATTCACAGTAGCATTATTCACAATAGCTACAAGGTTGAACCAATCTAAGTATGATGGCCAGTTTTCTTTTGGGGGACAGGTACTGGAGATTCAACTCAGGGGCAATTTACTGAGCTATATCGCCAGCCCTTTTTAAATATTGAGACAAGTTCTCAATAAACTACTGAGGCTGGTCTTGAATTTAAGATCTTCTAGTCTCAGCCTACCAAGCTGCTGGAATTACAGGCATGTGCCAACATGCCCAGCATGATGGGCAGTTTTGTGTCAACTTGTGTACCCAGTGACCTGGACTGGACATTTGGTCAAAGCATTAATTTTGGAGAGTCTGTGAGCATGTTTCTGGATGACATTAACATTTGGACCAGTAAACTGCATAAAGCAGATTGCCCTATCCAGTGTAGACTTTCACACTCCATCCAATCAGGTAAAGGTCTGAATAGAATAAAAAGGCTGACAGACTCTTCCCATGAGCAAGAGGGAACCCCTGCCTGACTTCCTCTTGGCTTTTGAACTCAAGGTAAAAATGGAGAGAAAGAAAAGGGAACACCACGTAAGAATGACAGAGCTAACCACCATTTTCACCCATCTCCTGGCTATAATCAACTTGCCAACTATAAATCTTCTCAGCTGCCATCATCACATGCGCCTATTCCTCATAATAAATCTCTTTTTATAAAGAGATCTATAATAAATCTTACTGATTGCTTCTCTGGAAGACCCTAACACACCAGTGTCCACCAACAGATGAATGGATAAACAAAATGTGGTATATAACACAGTTGAATATTATTTAGCCTTAAAAAAAGAAGTTCAGATACATGCTACAACATGGATGAACCTTGAAGACATTATGCTAAATGAAATAAGGCAGTCACGAAAGGACAAATATTGTATGATTCTACTTATATGAAGTTCTTAAGTAATCGATTTCATAGAGACAGAAAGGAGAATGCTGTTTCCCAGTGGCTTGAGGAAGGAGAGAATTGGGAGTCAGTGTTTAATGGGGACACAGTTTCAGCTGGGGAAGATGAAAAAATCCTCAGATGGAATGGTGGAAATGTTTGCAGAGCAACGTCAGTATGCTTGATGCCAATAAGCTATACACTTAAAAACAATTAAGATGATGAATATTATTATACAGATGCTCCTTAATTACAATGGAATAATCCAGGAAACCCATCACAGGTTAAAAATATCTAAGTCAAAAGTACATTTAATACAGCTAACCTACTAGACATTATATCTTAGCCTCACCTACCTCAAACATGCCCAGAACACTTACATTAGCAATTAAGTGTGACTTAATCATTTAATACAAAGGTTATATTAAATGTCAGAAGAACTCATGTAATTTATTAAATACTATATCATACACTACAAACTATCAGCTGTTTATGCTCATACTGCATGACTGTGTGGGAATCTGAGCTCATTATTGCTGCCCAACAAAACGAGAGAGTAACCTATTGCACGCTGCTAGCCCAGGAAAAGAGCAAAGGCCAAACATCAAAACATGGTTTCTCCTGAGTGCATTTCACTTTTGCACCAATACGAAAACCACCATAAGCAAGGGACTATCTATAAGTGTTTTTTTTTTTTTTTAATATTTATTTTTTAGTTTTAGGTTGACACAATATCTTTATATTTATGTGGTGCTGAGGATTGAATCCAGTGCCTCATGCATACTACAGTCTACCACTGAGCCACAACCCCAGCCCCTATGAGTGTTTTATGACAATAAAAAAAGGTTGGTTTGTTTGTTTTTGTTTTGTTTTGGTGGTACTGGGGATTGAATTCAGGGGTGTTCTACCACTAAGTGACATCTTCAGACATTTTTGTTGTTGTTGTTTTTAATTGTGAGGCAGATTATCACTACATGCTGAGTTTGGCCTTGAACTTATGATCCTTCTGCCCAAGCCTCCCATATCACTAGGATGACAAGTATGCACCTTTAACTTTTGCAAAGTTTATAACAACCAGCCAGGTGCAGTGGCACACACCTGTAATCCCATCAGCTCGAGAGGCTGAGGCAGGAGAATCGAAAGTTCAAGGCTAGCCTCAGCAACTTAGCAAGACCCTGTCTCTAAATAAAATAAAAAAGGGACTGAGGAGGTGGCCCAGTGGTTAAGCAACCCTGGATTCAATCCCCAGTACAAAAAAATAAAACAAAATAAAATAAAGTTTATAGCAACAAACTTAGTGAGACCCTATCTCAAAATAAAGCAATAAGGGCTGGAGATGTGGCTCAAGCGGTAGCGCGCTCGCCTGGTATGCGTGCGGTCTGGGTTCGATCCTCAGCACCACATACAAATAAAGATGTTGTGCCCACCGAAAACTAAAGAATAAATAATAAAAAATTCTCTCTCTCTCTCTCTCTCTTAAAAAAAGGAAAAAAAAAAAAGCAATAAAAGGGAAATTATCTGGAAGACTCTATTACAGCAAGCATCCACCAAAAGACGGGAATATAGCTCAGTGGTAAAGCACTTGCTTAGCATGTTCAAGGCCCTGGGTCTGATCCCCAGCTCCACAAAAAACAACAACAACAACAAAACAAAAAAATCCACAGAGGAGGCACTATGTGTTATTGTGGTCCAGACAATAGAATCAGTTTTGAGCACGTGGCTCCACTGGAGGAATTCCTCCACTGGAAGTCCTGTTACAATTAGGAGTAGCTGGGGAGGTAGGGAATCAGAACCAGAGACAGCCTCTTTGTGTGTGTGTGTTGGGGAGTGGGGGGTAGGACTAGGGGGACTGAACCCAGAGATGCTCTAGTACTGAGCTATAACAACAAATAGAGTCTCACTTAATTGCCCTTGAACTTGTGATCCTCCTGCTGCCTCAGCCTCCTGAGTCACTGGGATTATAGGTGTGCACCACTACACTACTCTTAGATCTGGTTGATGGATCATTTTTTTTTTTTTCAGTTGTTTATGAAACAGATTTTTTTTTTTTTTCATGTGGTGATGAGGATCAAACCCAGTGCCTCATGTGTGCTAGGCGAGTGCTCTACTGCTGAGCCACAACCCTGATGGTGGTGTATCTTAACAGCTGGTTTCCACTGTTCTAATGCTAGATGCCCTTTCTACTATGGGGACACCACCACAAGGTGAGTTTGAAGATGGGGACAGAGAGAGACAGGGAAAAGCATTCCCAACATTTCACAGCACAAATGGTAGGTTTCCAATAATTGTCCACAGGCACAACCTTTAGGTGCAAACATTTGCCTACACTGCTCACATCACCACCTTTCTTTTGTCTGTGCTCCTGGAAAGGGGTGAATTCTATTTTTCTGAGGGCTGAACAGGCTCCTATTCTGAGTAAACGAGGGACCCTGTCTAGTCATGGTGAAGACAAGGCTTAGGAAGTACCTCAACATCCCGCTTCAGTTTCTCCAGGAAGTTCTTTTTACTCTCTTCTCCCACATGCAGCTTCTGTCCTTCATTGAGGAAGTCATTATCTTTGAATGTTGGCAAGTCCTTGGCCTGGAGAGCAACAGCAGCATTAGGTTAGGTGGGCTCACTCACTTGCCCCAGGGAGAACGAGCTGTTCTGCTGAGAGCAGTGTGTGCAAAGGGAAGGGGTTTCTTTTTAACACAAGATGCACAGTTTGCTCATTAGCAGCACAGGAGCCTACAGGCCCAGGCTTTGGATAGGCAGGAATGGCAAATATGTGGCATATGTCAGACAATGAGGACTGACCAAAGGATCCTTTCATGCTGAACCTGGACTATGCCAGAGCTCAGAATGACTCTTGCTGAACTATAACATGTAAACCGTCTCCATCCCGGCAAGACCGTAAAGAACCCAGAGAGAGCAGAAGTAAAAGGCTGGAGACTGAGGCCTATACCAAGGTCAAGCAGGTGCTTAGTAACAGAAGTGTACTGGTGAACAGCTGCATGTGGGAGGGACAAGATGGCCAACAGAAGGTGTTTCTGATTCCAAGCAACCCTTCCACATTTGCTCAGCGCCAGCATACCTTCTCTTTGTCACTTGCTTCTCTGGCAACAGTAGAACCCTGAAAGGATAAGAGCCATCAGGAGAAGTTCAGCAGAGGCAAACTCCTTTGAGCAGACAAACATGCACTAGAGTTTGGGGAGAGCTGGCAGGTGAATGGAAATAGGCTGGTTAGTACCCTAGAGGGGCCAGGAGGCAGCAACTTGTCCACTCACTCAGCATAGCCCACTTACAGAGCTCTGACTACAGTTACAGAACTTTCAGTCTAACAGGGGACATGGACATTAAACAGTGAGTACACAATTCAACAATTCATTATAATGGTGCTAAGTGGTATGGGGAGGAGACACTCTGACACTATGAGAGCATGTAATGCAGGGGATGCTCCTGGAATGGGGAGGAGCAGTGGCCAGGGCCTACTTGCTGGAAGCAGCAGCATGTGAATTGAAGCTAAGTTTAGGCAGCCCTAATGTGGGGGAAGGGCAGGGCTGCTGAGAGGGAACCTATTCAGGCAGTATATGTAGAATCCTGGAATGGGAAGGAGCATAGGCACTGCAGGGATGCAAAGAAAATCAGTGTGGCTGCAGCAGAGGGAGGGGACAGCAGTATGAGGTGACAGAAGTCAGGAAGCCTGGTTCAAGAACAGTGGAGCACCCTGGTTCACAGCCCCAAGTGCATCCTTCTCAAAGCTTAGAAATGGACTTGCACTGTCACTCCACAGGGCCTGTACAGATGTCAGAGTATGAGCATCAGCATGGCCTGTCCCTGCTCTGCTACCCTGGGTGTGCACAATTCACAGGCAGGAGTTGAAGAGTATCTATTGTTATGTACATATGGTACATTTGTCACTGTCATCTGGACTTCAAGTAAGAATGGTCTGTAAGAAGCAGGCACATCAACTCCCAAGTCACTTGTCATGCCAATGCATGTGCTCTAGCTTTCCCAACTAGGCAGAAGTCAGAGCAATGGCCTCTCACAGCCTCAGACATAAGGTGGCCACACTGCTGGGAAACACAGAGCCCTTTACCTTGAGGTCATACTTGCGGTGTACAGTGAGACGATGGCTAAACACATTCCTCGTGACCACCATGTAGGTTTCCACGCCGTCCACAGTCAGGCGGTACATGCCCAGGAACTGTGGCAGAAGGGTGTTACCATGACACTCCACTATGAACTAGAATGGGAAGCAGGAAGACAGGGAAGGTTAAGGAACATGAAGGTGCCGAGCATGGATGGGGCTCTACCAGGCTAAAATGTTCCCCAGCTCCCTGGATTCTACTTCTAGACTAGTGGTTTTTTCAAGTGAGTTCTGTGAAATAATAGGGGTTGCTCAGACTTACAACAGGCGACAGCCACCCCACATCCACCTGGCATGGCAGAGTGAGGTTAGTTGAGCAGGCAGTGCGGAGTCCCTCCAGGAGACCACCTAAGATTTTTTTTTGTGGTGTTGGGGATCGAAGCCAGGGCCTTTTGCACGCAAGGCAAGCATTCTCTCTACCAACTTTGCTATATCCCCAGCCCGCCACCTAAGATTTTGTTTGCAATAGGATTACATAGTAGGACAATCATGGATCCAGGACTTGCTCTCCTCTGTCAGCCTAACGTAGGAAGGCCAAAGGGCAGAGAGGAGCTGCAGAGGTAGGGATGGGACCCAGCATCTGGGAGAACAGAGTGGTCCCACCCAAAGCTCTCATTGCTGAAACCCCCCAAAGACCAGAGTTCCCTTCACCACTCTTCTGGTGTCACAGAGAGAAGGCCCAGGCAGGCTTAGGACAGGCACCCACATGGCACCACAGTACTCCCTGCTTTCTCCCTGGGCAGGTTCCAGAGGAGTGGAAAGATGGAATGGGAAGGAATCAACCCTGCTGCCCCACCTCTTTCAGAAGAAGCAAGGCAGATGCCAGAGGATGAAAACTCTCCAACTCAGACAACAAAAAGCTGTTCAACTGGGACTGAGTCAGCAACATGCCTTTGTGGCTCCTTTTCATGGGCTGGGGCTGGGGCTCGGTGGTTAAAGCCTTTGCCTGGCATGCGCGAGGCCCTGAGTTCAATTCCCAGCACCATAAAAAATAAAATAGGCATTTCACCTCACAGAAACAGGGAGAAGCTACTGCTTGGTTATCAGGAAGCATTTGCCACTACTAGAGAGGACATGGCCCGGGTCCCTGAGAAGCCCACCAGGGGTCCCCTCTCCTTCTTCTAACCCATTCTCCACTGCCCAGGCTTGGGACTCACCATACCTGGTGGTATTTCTTTAAGATGTTGTGCATCTCAGCCACATCCTCACTTGACACAGTCTTGATGACAAAGCGTCGGTCATAGGTGGTAAGGAAACGCGTACCACACCGGCCCTGGCTGTCACTGTTGATGGGTGCACTGCGTGTCACTGAGTTCTGAGAGCCCAAGACAAAAGCAGCTGGTTTTGGAAAAAGGCATAAAGATTCTTTTCTTCTTCTTCTTTCTTTCTGCAGTACTGGAGATGAACCCAGAGCCTTTCACATGCTAGGCAAGCTACACTATAGTCCTAGGATTCTGACTGATTCTGAATCTTCTCTGATGGGCTGGACTGTTCAAATGTCAAAAATACTACAATAGAGGGTTCCCAGATGGGACCTTATCCACCTCTTTGTTCTTGAGGTATTCATAACCCTTCCTAAAATCTTCCTCTACAATGATAAATTGACCCTTACAATCTGCCCCTGATCTTAGACTAGAATAGAAAGAGGACTATGAAGTGTCATTTCATCTTGATCCTAGAGAGCTAGCCTACAAACTAAAACAGCCTCAGATTTGAGGGGGCTGATTCTAATCCTGACCCTATAAACCATATTACCTTAGGTGAGCCATACTTCACCCTGAGTTTCCTCAACTGAAACACTAGGAGGCAGATCGAGTGGATTTCTCCAATCTCTTGAGTGACAAAGACCAAGCTTAGGAAAAATGCAACGGGCCTAGCGTAAGGACACAATGGACACAGTCACCTCTTTTCCTTGTATTAACCCTGAGGCTCAAAAACCCTTCCCAAAATGGGAGGCTGATCCTCAACTTTTGGTCATCAACCTGCCCCCTCATCTCAGCTTCCTGCTCTTCTGTGAATGACTGGAAGGCAGTTCTGGTAGACTTTCTGGCTCTGCCCCTACTCAATCTCAAGTCCCCACTAGGATCAGAGAGCAGAAGAGATGGGGGACAATGTGAGTTGACCAAAAGCCATGTGTTCACACAGTAGACCCCTGGGAGACAAGGCTGAGGGGAGACCCCAGTTGTTCCCAAGAACATGGAGATCCACTCATAGAAGTGCCTCCTTTCCAGATCCCTGCCTTATCTCTTACTGAGGACTCTACTTTCTACTGTCACCCAATGACTCCTCAAAAAACCATATGGGGGGCTGGGATTATAGCTCAGTTGGTAGAGCACTTGCCTAGCATGTGTGAGACATGTGTGGGTTTGATCCTTAACACCACATAAAAATAAAATAAAGGTATTGTGTCCATCTACTATAAAAAACATTAAAAAAACATGGGGGGGGATAAGCGCCATCTTCATGGAAGAAACTAAGTCTGAAGGGTTGATGGGCTCTCTATGTTCCTTGGAAAAGATGCTAAATTAAAGGAGCTCCCCAGAAATAGGACATCCCCAACCAAGAAATGCTGAGCAGGCTGCATGAATGAGTGACCTCTCTCCATGCCTGTGCCTCTGCCAATAAGACTTGCAGCTGTGAGCCCAGGTGGAGGTGCAGCTCTGCCTGCCTTAGGTCCAGGCAGCTTCTTCCCACTAAATCACTGGTAGCCCATGAGCAGAGGCCCTGCCCAGAATGTCAGCCCTGCTGCCCTCATTTCAGTCTTGAGCAGTCATGTGCCCATCAGGCTTTTAGAGGCAAAATGCAGACATGGGATGATGTGGTGAGATAGTCCAGGGACGAGGAAGGAACCAAAGGAGAAAGAAGGCGTCCCAGCAATTTGGGGTTCCAACAATGGCAAGAAGTTTTTAGAAAACCTCAGGCTCCAGACAGGTCATGATTTACTTCAGGGTCTGATCCTAGCAGAGGCGGATGGAGGGACCTCACAGTACTTCTTAGATGTGGACATTCCTGGGTGCTCAAAGCCCTGAGATCTCCTCCTCCTTTCACATACCCTCAGCCTCCTAGTCAGGATATCGTGTCTATAGCAGGCCCTCAGAGTGAAGGCAGGGAGGGACATTTGTGCCTGAGGCCCACTCTGCTCCTGTGAACTCTGTGAAAGGCTTACTGGGATTGAGTAGGCATCCGTTTTAGATTTTACTGTGCTTGTACACTCCCCTTTTTCCACCACAAATGATTGAAAGTCAGCTATGTTTTGAAAACTATAAGGTGAAGTGAAAAATTCTCCTACCTTTACCTCTAGGCTATCTGCTAGAGGAAGAAGGTCCAAAGAGAAGGGCAAGGTATAGAAGGGACTGAAGCCAGACTGAATGGACTCTGAGTCAGACTATCATGTTCTGATTTTGGGACTGATTCCTCTCAACAGGCTTCTAAGACAGTATCGCCCCTGAAAAGGGCAGTTGCCCTGATATGCCTACCCCACTCCCACCACCAGGATAGGGGACAAGTTTAAGAGGTGACACTCATACCTGGGAAGAGGTTACACTACCCTTGAAGTCTTCCTTTTCTAATCTGTCTTATCTGCTTTAAGAGGCCTCATCTTTCGCTGACAACAATTCTCTCTCTTAAGTCAAACTACGAGGAGAGGGTTCTTCAGCCTAGACTGGGAATGTCAGACTGAAATGAAGCAGCTTCCACACATCCCTCTCCCTCCCACTATTCACCCTCCCAGGGACAGGAACGTGAGCTGAGGCATCCTCAGAAGCACATCTAAAGCCCCTGTCCCTCCAAGAGCCCAGCAGTCCTGGGAAAGACTGCATGAACTAGAATAAGATGTGACAGGGGGGACACAAGGACGGCTGATGCTTTTTCCTCTATTTGTCCTGTGGCTTCCTGACCCCACTCCATTCCCAAACCTTCCAGGTTTTACTAGACAGCCCGTACCTGGTAATCCTGATCATCAATCCCAAACCTCTCACGGAGATTTCGGAACACCATCGGGCAGTACTCTTTAAACTTAAAGCGGCTGGGGAGGTTCTCCCTAGGGAAAGTAGAGCATCACTCAGCTTCATTCTGACATCAGAACTCCTCAAATTGTGGCCCACAGACTGCCCCAACCTGAACAATCTTTCATGCTTAAATGCTGATTTCTAGGTCCTAGGAACTCTGGAGGTAAGTCTGGAAATCTGCATTTTTAATAAACACTGCTGGTGATTCTAAGCATGTATAAACTTAAAATTTTTACACCTAAGCCAGGCCCAGTGGTACACACCTATAACCCCAGCTACTTCGGAAGCTGAGGCAGGAGGATGAATAGTTTGAAGCAAACTTTGCAAAACCCTGTCTCAAAACAACAAAAAAAAGTTACGTCTCTATTCACTTTGTAAATATTAATATAGTCATATACTTATGGCTTGTGTACTTTTCTGTATGTGTCCTTCAATAAAATTTAAAGGAGAAAAAAAAAACTAGCCCTGTGAAGTGAGACTGTGTGTAGGGCGTACCTCACAGGCACTGTAAGTGCTACCGCAGGTCACAGCATGTGAACTTCTGCTGTGAGGCAATATCAGTCTAGAGGGAAAGACTCCTCTCACCAAAGGCCTCTCTCCTCTGGGGATGTTCCTACTGAAACATCCTGAATGGGTATTCAAGACATCCTGCCCTGGGCTTCTACTGGGATGTAGGAAAAAGTGAGGTATGAAGAGATCCCCGCTCAGTTAACTGGGATCCCATCTTTTAAAGCCATGTTTGCTGACTTCTGGCACCAATCTATACCCTTTCCACTCCTTAGACTGATCAGAGGACTGGATCCTGAAATGGCTGGTGGTACACTGCCACCTCTGGATCCCTCGGCTTCTAGATCAGAATCACCTCTTTTTCTACCTGAGTGGAGATCTGCTTCTCCTTCCTTAGGTGGCCACTTAGCAGGTGGAAGCTATGAAGACAGATGGCTTCTAGAACAAGATATTATTATTAACGATGGCAAAGAGAGAGAGGCCACTAAGGGATATTCTGAAATCAAGCTTTTCCTCTGAGCTAACAGTCTGGGACTAGTGGGGTGACAGCCTACCTGGTAAGGTGGTAAAGGCTTTAGGACAAAGGAGAATAGAACCAGGATGGACATAAAGAAAGGAACATAGTAAATAGCAAAGGGTCCCTGGGGAAACAGTAGGACAAAAAAACAAGGCCTCAATAGGGCTTAGAGCAGGCTCCCAACTGTACCAGGTGAGATGGCTACTGAAGGGTCTCCAACAATGTCTGAGACAACCTTCAGACACTGGTGATATTCCAAGAAGCTACAAGGGACAAAAATAGGAAGCGTTACTTTGGGTAGTGCCCTTGAGCACTATGCTTAGCCTGTTGTTTACACACCAGTCAGGGAGAAAAGATCTTGGCTCACTGCAGGCCAGGAAAATGCCTGGATGATTCCTGCCTCAGACCAAGATCAAGATAGGGCCACTACTGAAGCCACCTACTAGATACCCCAGCTCCCAAATCGCTCATCTCTCCAGAGCTAGCCCTCCATGAATCACCCAGGACCTAGCCACACATCCCAAGAGACACTGGAGGTGGCAGATAAAGAAATGCATTGACCAGAGAATGCCATGGAGAGAGAATGTCATTACAAATGCATTTTCCCAGCCAGCTTAACAACTCTGAGACAGATGCACTATTATACTCTGCCAGGTGCTGGCGTGGCCCACCATGCATGAGGCTACAGAGGTTTGAAGGAAAAAATGCTCATAAAACTTGAGCCCACTCAGTAAGCAACTTACTTATTGAAGAGATGATTATCCACCTTGATCTTGCTGTAGGCTTTGAAGTCATCTGGCATTAGCATGACAGGGACAGGGACATTGCTCAGCTCATTGATCTGTAAAGCAAAAGAAGAGGGAGGTCCTTGAGATAATATGCTATCATGTGGAATGCCACCATCCGTCTACAGATTCCTTCCTTGTCTTTATTTCTGCCCTTCTCAAGTTCCCAACCTTATGTCCACCTGTTGAAATTCTCCCTCTAATAAGGTACAGCTCAAAAGGTACCTCCTTCATGAAGCTTTCCACAGTACTCCAGACCATAAATAAATACTCTTTCCCTACTTGGAATTCCTGAAGCATTGTATATATCCTTCCTTTGGCCATCTCACAGACATTACATATTGTAGTTAATGTAATTAATAAACTTCATGGGCCTGTTAGATTTCAGCTAAGCAATACTGTTATTGATCTTTGGGGGCTATGCAGTCCTTGGCACCACAAATTAAAACATGGCAGTTACTCAGTATTTGTCAAATGCAATACATGGATCAATGAATAAATGTCCTCCAATCTAGGTGCATATTAATTAAAGCCTTTGAACATCCTCATGCAAATTGTGGGCTATTCAAAGCAGGAAAAAACATGGGTGGGTTTGTATAGGTGTGTAACTTTGTATCTCCAAAGTAAAGGGTTAAACTTAAAGGGAACAAAAGAGGTAGACATCTCACCCCTGGTTCACTCTGGCCCTCTAGCAAAAGCAGGGCCAGTTCCCTATGTAATAGCTTGCTTATGCTGAACTGGCAAAGATGGATTAGGATCCCTTGCCCCTACTGTATACAAACCTTCTCAGTGTCTTTCATCCCCCTTCAGAGACTTGGCTTCCCATTGGTACAGAGCTGAGTGGGCAGATCCTGCTCTTCCCCATCCCATTTAGCCTATTAGTGGTCTAATTAGCCACAGATGTCCTCTTCCATCACTAAAGAGTATTTGACATTTGACTCTCAACCCAGTTGCCATTAATGCATTCAGAATTTATAGAGGAAACCTTAGTCCTGACTTAATGGATTGGGGGTTGGGGGGCATAGCCTTGTGTCTCCCAGATACCTTTCTTGCAAATCCTATTATCTCAATGATGTGGCAGGGAGGGAATAACCTACAGTCATTAGGACTCCTCCAGGAGCATAAATGGGGAAAATGGCATTTAATTTGCTGCCCTTTTTATGTTTCAAACTTTTTTTTATTTAGAAATACCAGAGGATATAGAAAGTTCAAGTTAATGCAGTCTGGGGAACCATATCTTCTCAGAGTTGGTTTAAAAAAAGCCAGTTCACTCATCGGGAAGTTGAGGAAGGTGGAGGAGTATATGTATACAAAGAAGGGACAGTGGATAGAAATATAAGTTAAGGGTGTGGTGGAGATAACAAACTGCTGGCAAATTTGACTGACACAGACAATGAGTGTGATCCCATTTACATGAAACTCCAGAACAGGAATCTACAGGAAAAAATCACCTAAGAGGCTGTCTGGGTAGGTTGGAGGTTGTCAAGTGTAAAAGGACATGAGAAGTATAAGGTGATAGAAAAGATCCATGTGGGCTGTGGCTGTGGCTCAGCGGTAGAGCACTCGCCTAGCACGTGTGAGGCCCTGGGTTCGATCCTCAGCACCACATAAAAATAAATAAATAAAATAAAGATATTGTGCCCAACTACAACTAAGAAATAAATATTAAAAAAAAATGATCATGTGTTGTCTGGAGTGATGGTTATGTGATTAATCACTCTAGGGATTAGTTATACTTTTATTATTTTGTCAAAAATCTGTAAATTGTACACTTTAAAAATGTGTGTATTTTATTGTATGTAAAGTTTTCATCAATAAAAGTGATTTAAAATTTTCCAACATCCTGGGCTGGGGTTGTGGCTCAGCAGTAGAGCACTGGCCTGGCACGTGCAAGGCCCTGGGTTCGATCCTCAGCACCGCATAAAAGTAAATAAAATAAAGGTATTATTTCCAACTACAACTAAAAAATAAATATTAAAAAATTTTTCCAAGGGCTAGGGATGTGGCTCAAGCGGTGGCACGCTCGCCTGGCATGCGTGCGACCCGGGTTCGATCCTAAGCACCACATACAAACAAAGATGTTGTGTCCACCGAAATCTAAAGAATAAATATTTAAAAAATTCTCTCTCTCTCCCTTTCTCTCTCTCTCACTCTCTCTTTAAAAAAAAAAAAAAAAAAAAAATTTCCAACATCCCAATCTGTAATGACCTTTATCATTAAGCCCTCCCAACAGTCAAATAAAACAACCATGCCAGCTCATTCCAGAGGTGATCATGAGAGAGCTTGACTGTCAAATCTGTGCCTACAGAGAAAACCATTCCACTTCCTTATTTTTCTGCCAACAGAAACAATTCATGATGGTGGTACCACTTCCTTTTTCCTGGTATATCAAGCCTGACTCTGAGAGTTAAAGGGGAAAAAAGAGAAAAAGAGATTCCAGGTTCTTAAGCAATTCACCTTTTCTAGCTTGTCCCACTGGATCACAGTATGGCTTCACACCAAAACATTACAGAATCTGCTACGAATTGATTCTGGTTAGTCCAAGATCCAAATTTAGTACCAAAGTCAGGGATTGATACTAGGAGAACCAGAAATGATTAAAACACTTACTTGAGAGAGGTCAACTGTTCCTTAGCCAGGGTGAATTAGTCTCACAGGACCTATTAATTATTTATTATCTCTCTATTCATTATTTCTCTGTGTAAACTTTTTTTCTTTTTGGGGGGGGGCAGTACTGGAGATTGAACCCAGAGGCACTTCACCATTGAGCTACAGCCTCAGCTCTTTTTACTTATTATTTTGAGCCAGCGTCTTGCTGAGTTACCCAGGCTGGCCATGAACTTGTAATCCTTTTGCCTCAGCCTTGGGAGTTGCTGGGATTACAATCATGTGCCACTATACCCAGCTCATTTTTACTCTTGATTATAAGTCTAATAATAGGAATTTTTAAATTCAAATAATACATTGGTGGACAACCCATGAACCTCAACTATATAGACTCACCCCTTTTTTTCCAATGGGCCACATGTAGATTATTCACTCTAGATATTAGTTATACTTTTACTCTTGTACCAGGGATTAAAACCAGGGACACTAAACCACTAAACTACATCCCCAGACCTTTTTGAAAATTATTATTTTTTATTTGAGAAAGGGTCTGGCTAAATTGCTTAAAGCCTCCCTAAGTTGCTCCTGCCTCCCAAATCACTGTATATTTTTCACTTTTCATTTCTTAGTTGTGTTAAATTTTATATCCTCAGAGTTCAATTCAATTTCATATGGACAGGAGTTATTGAAAAAGCTACTATATGCTTCATTCTGTGGATGATATGTGTGTGTGAGGAGGGGTGCCAAGGAGAAAGGGTTATGTACATTAAAGAACTATGAGGCTTATGCTCTAAACAAGGAAATGAGTCAAACCAGTAAACAATCTTAAGAAGAACACGGGACACAGAGGAGGATAAGGTTAATATGATCAGAGGATCAGACCCCCTGGCCCTCACACATCAGGCTACAAACAGGCACCTAAGTCTTTCCCGGTATTGCCAAGAGCACTCAAAACTGGAAAAATCTACAAGATCATGTTATACGCCTGCTTAAAAATCTTCCATGGCTCCTCATCAACCTCAGTGTAAAGTTTTAACCTGGCATTCAACACCTTTTCTGATCTGGCTTAGACGATGTCAAACTTCTACTCAATTTATGACATCCAAGCACTGTCTCAGAAACTGGAGAGACAAAAAACAAAAGATGTCCTCTGTTTGGCTGTGAAGACAGACAACAGTAACTAATACAATCTGACGTGTGCTATAACTGCCTAGGAGATGGAAAAAATAGATTAAGAAATGATTGATTCTGGGATAGGGGTGTAGCTATTTAACTGCAACATGTGAGAGCCCTGGGATTGATCCCCAGCACTGCAAGGAAAAGACAGAGAAGTAAAATAAAAGAAAAAGAGAAAGGATTGCTTCTGCCCAGGAGTAGGAATGAGGGAACTGATTGCTAATGGAAACTATGGAGAAATAAATTTGAGAAAGTCCTAATATCATAGTTCCCCCCCCCCCAAAAAAAAAAGACAGGAAAGGAATCCTAGGCCATTGGAACAGTGAAAACCAAGCCTTAGAGTTATGAAATATACTGCCATTTTAAGAACAGCGAGTACATTATGCAGGGGCATTTGGGTAAACAGAGGGCACAACACAGGTCAGAGGTAGTAAGAAGAGCAGGGGGATAACCGGAAAATATGTGAACCATCTAGCACATTACAAATATTAATAAATGATAGCTGTTTCCATTGGTCAAATGCCTATGAGAGGTTGGTACTTTCTATCATTATTAATCACACATACACAATATATATTCTAGGGCTGGAGATATAGCTCAGTTGGTAGTGTGCTTGCCTCGCATGCACAACACCCTGGGTTCAATCTCCTGCACCACAAAAAAAATTTATATATATATATATTTTTTTCTCTATTCTGTGCTATGATTTCTAACACTAGTAGCCACATATTATTAATCTGATTTTGCAAGAGAAGATCAAACACTATGTGAAGAAACAGGATTTGATCCCAGATCTGTCTGATGCCAGGTCTGTCTGTCTGGGCTCTTTATACCATGCTGTGCAATCCTGCTTACAGATGGCCACCTTGCCTAAGGCTGTGTTTTCCATTCCTTGTCTCAAGGAAAAAGCATTATGCCCACTTTATAGGAAATAAAAATGAAGCTGGCAAAAAGAAAAGAAAAATATGACTGCTCCAAAGCATACCACTAATAACTGGCAGAGCCTAGATTTGAACTTAGGCTTGCCTACTGCGTGGTAGATTTAGACTTGATTATGCAGCAATGGGAAGCCCTCTCAAGTTATGTCTGAGGATTCGCAAGTTGGGCAACACAGAAAGGAATGAAAACCAAGAACTGCAAAAGGCAAAGAAGCAGTAAGACCATTTACAGACCATTTATTTAATACAATTGTTCAGATGATAGACTGCAGACTTAAGAATAGAAAGGATAAAAGTCAACAGAATCAGCTAAGATCTAGCTCAATGACAGTTCC